TTTATTTCTATTTTTTAATGAAATAGTAAAATGAGTATACATTAATGAAAAAGCAATAACCAAATAACCTATGTATTTATAATATGGACACGAATGATAGTTCCAGTAAAAGAAAAAAATTAAGCTTGATATGGACACGTTTGGGGGATTGGACACGTTTGGGAGATTGGGCACGTTTGGGGGTTTATATAAATGACACGCTTTGGTGCCCTTTTACATTAAGACATGTTTTGCAGTTCAGTGACGTCATGTGGACAAGTTTGGGGGAATCGGACACGTTTGGGGGGAAGGACACGTTTCTGAGTGTTACATATATATACAAGGTCAACATCATATGATTAATCAAATGAAATAAGCCTGTATTTCAATGACCAAATTTAAATCTTCCATGCACATTTTCTGTTCATATAATATTATTTTACCTTTGTTTACATGGTCAATGTGGCAGCTTATTTATGACATATGATGATCGAATGAAATAAGTTCAATATGTGGTCAAGATTTTGAACAACAATTATTTTACTTCATGCACTCTAGGAATAAAATAACTTCCCTACCCGATGAAGATTCAATTTTCAATTTTTTAGGTACACAATGTAGGACAGAACTAAGATTTTGTTTTAAAGGTATGGTTTGCTGTTTTCATATCTTTTTTTACCTTATAGTTCAGACATATTTATACATATCTTAGATAAGGAGGTAAAATGAAATCATTTTTACAGATTATAACCCTGGGCTTCTTTGCACATTCATGACATTATGGAACACAGAAGAACATTTTCAAGAAGAATATTTAACCATTTTCCACATTAATAATCCTACATTGTAGATGGGCAACATGACATCCACATTATTTATCTTCGGACTGTGTACAAAGTGACTTGTATTTTCAGCACTTATACAAACAATAGAATATGTGATGGATTCCTCTGGCACAGGGATGTCCTACATGTACATGTGTCCAGCTGCAAGAAGGAATTCCCACCTGTACGAACTGTGACGCCCGTATATGACACGGAAACCAGGCGTAAAAATCATACTTTATCCGGGCGTCATTGCAGTGTTTAAGGAATGCATGTCCAGGCGTCAACCAGGTGTAAACCAGGCGGAAACCAAGCGTAACTGAGGCGGAAACCAGGCGTAATATTTAAATGAGTATGCCTGGTCCAGAGAAAACCAGGCGTAATATGCAAATGAGTACCCCTGGTCAATAAATAAACCAGGCGTAATATCCTTACATAATAGTACACTTATTTCAAATCAGTGTATTACCCTAGCTGTGTTCTTTTGTGTATTTAATACAAACTTCTGTACTGTTGCTTTAATTTCTCATTGTTTGACATAAAACTGGAAATATTTACCATTGAAGAAGCTAATATATAAATAAATACATTTTAGACAGTCACTGCCACTGGCTCAAATAAGTTTAAAGTTTAAATAAGAATTATGACAATTAATTTTTCTTGAAATAAAACTTAAACATTTTAATTAACTAAGTTTTTTATAAATTAATGTCCTTTAAAATATAATGATAATACTGCAATTTAACTTCATGTAAAAGATTTTAATGTTATTATCCAAGGATAAAGGTTTTGGGATTTCAAAATTACTGTTAGAACTTAAAACTTAATAACTTAGGTTATACTCACATAATTATTATTTACCATGTTTTACTTTCCATTTTTTCACAATTTTTATTAATCAATTTGATTCCATATTTCCAATTTCAAATTCTTTCAAAAAGCACAAAACAAGCTAATTATCCCTGAACATATGAAGCTGCCAAAAGTCCAACTCTTGCAAACTAAAACCAAAGAGCCAAATTTTGAAAAAAATTCCCATGATCCTTTAAACAAAGCATTATGGGTATTATGATTTACGCCATACCAACAGTTTTACGCCCGTAAGAAAATTTACGCCTTGCTTATTTCAATTTACGCCAGGTTTGCCACTTTTTTCTACGCCCGTAAGGACTACAAATTTACGTTTCCTGCTCCCTTACGCCTGGATCTAGACACGTAAGTACCACTTCCGCCTGGTTTACGCCTTATTTCCAGGCGTAATACGCCTTATAATTTCATACGGGCAGTCAGCCTACATTGCAATGCATGCTGACTAGGACAAAACCTCTTGGTCACATACATTTGTACATGTAAATGAACCAGTAAGATATTATTACCTGTATGTTTGTTTGTTTAATAATTATGCCTACACCATAGTATTAATAACTTAAATAAACTCACAATTACCAGAAATATACTACATAAACATCCCTATTAAAAACCTGCCTGATTAAAAAAGAGTGGCTTTGATTCAGGAAAATTTTATTGAAAAAAATTGATAAACATGTTAAAAATTATTCACATATTATCTAATGAATAAAAAATATATTGAAATAAGTGTCAATAGCACAAATATAAATTAAACACCATAGCTATCGTTGCTATGATTCATAATTTTTTTTTACTTAAATATCGGTCAAAAGTGTTTCAATATTTATCGCTTTTACTAAAGTATATCAATCAGCTGTTTCAGAATCTTAAGGATTACAAATATTATTATTGTAAGTGCACCAATATGAAAATAACAATACACCATTGGTTGAACTTTCATTGTTGTGGAAGTTATTAACTTTTTTAACCACAATGTATAGGTGCAGGCTTTTGAAAATTTTGCCTAGAAATTGTAAGATTCTGAAACAGCAAGTTGTAAATGTATACCATAATTATTTCTAATAGGGGCAAAATCTTTAAATATGGACCGGATCATCTTCAGACTTGGGACTTATCAACTTGGGCTGGGATAGCATGAATTAAATCATCCACTTATAGATTACCTAAGCTGTATTTGGGAAAACCATGTGGAATTTAAGGTCCGCAATACTCTTCTTTACTTTACTTTGGCCATTTTAACTTTTTTGATTTGAGCGTCAAAAATGAGTCTTTGGTAGACAAAAAGAGTGTCAGGCATACAAAATTTCAAGCCTGACCAGTATCTATGAGTTTGTTTATAATTGATGCTATTTTAGATTCTGCCATACTTGACAATTATTTTTGTTTGTGGCGCAAGACATTTTCTCTTGTGATTTAAAAATTATATGGGAACTTATCTGATATACTCAAGACAAATGTGGGACAAAGCAGCTTGGAGACAACTTAGACACAGTCAAATTGGACTGACTAAAAAGTCAATGCGGACTGTTTATAAAGTCAACTCGGACCATCTTTAATGACAACTCAGACAAGTTTTGCAAGAGGATTTGAATTAAACAAATTATCATAAATTATGCAATGTTATATTTTACATGTGACAATATCATTTGAATGTTGCAGAATTTGCAAAACATAATAAAAAAAAATTTGTTTAATGCAAGGATTTATATACAGTGTAGTATTACAATGTAAATCCTTGTTTAATGTTAATTCTAATTTTTACTTATCTTTATCAATCTATTATATTAAACTTAATTTTAGCAAAAAAAATTTTAGTTGAATTTGTTTTATTTATTTGATGAATTCTTCATTTATTATTTTAAAGTCAACAATTAATATCTTCAGTTGCGTTCTAATCACTGCTAACTACGCTCCTTATCATGCTTATAAAACCAATAATTTTTGCATGCAGTGATACACAACATGCACAAGAAGAACAGCTATGACCACATGTTCAGCTAATCTAATACACGTTTTTAAATGGGCCTATATGTAGAATGACCCTATGATTTCTCTTCAGACGGTCTTTTTCATTAAATAATTTACAAAACTCTTAATTTTGTAAATTTGTCTGTGTAGGCATAATAGAAGGTCTGAGTTGATTTATAGACAGTCCGAGTTGACTTTACAAACGGTCAAAGTTGACAGATTGATGGTCCGAATTGTCTACGGACTGGGTTGCATACCTGCCAACCCTCTCGTTTTGAGCGGGAGTCTCCCGTGCAAACGATGAATTTCCGGAAATCTCCCGCTTGATGGTCTGCTTGCGCGAGAGTATAGAATCTCTCACTTTCAGATATTTTGACCTGGAATAACCCACGTTCGTAATTCTCTGGCTTTTTCATTACTTTCAATAGAAATAAATAAACAACCTTCAATCATTTGAAAACTTTGGTCAGTAGTTTTTATGTTCGATAAATAATTATTCGAGATTAAGTTCTGCTATGTCAACTCCAACAAGATAGAGGTCTTTGTCTAGACCAAGCGGTAGTGCATAAGACAGCTTAAATTATATGGAATGTTATGAGTTATGAGACTCAGAGGTATTTAAAAAGGCTAAAAAAAAAAACCACCTTGTATAGATTATTAAACCATGAATTGAAAAAAATAAAGTATATTTATTAACTTTTATTGGTGCTTTGTAGATGAATACGTAAACAGGTCATATATAATATTTAACTTGAAATGTCCTTCGCGCAAAATCTCCCCCTCAGCTGTCATAGCTGAGGGGGAGATCTCCCTCTTTGAAGGTTTCAGAGGTTGGCAGGTATGGGGTTTTCTGACACCACTCTCAGAACTGTCAAGACCTGATAAGGTGTATACGCATGTTGGGATTGTTAATCCATTGAGTAGAAGATGTATTTAGCCAGCAGTTATCTGTTAGGCAACTGAATAATTGCTTAGCTCAGATGGTAAGAGTGCTGACTTTGAACACAGGTTAGAGTCCCAGAGGCAGAGGTGAAAAAAGTGACTTTCTAGTTTGACAGTTACAGTATTCTCCCTACCAGCAACTCTATTTTATGACATTCCAACCGGTTCCAATATTGGAGAACAGAAAAAACTTCTTAACTGGGTATATGATTAAGCCAGGAAATTACTGCATTGAGTGTTTAGTAAGATACCTTTGAATTTACGGTTACCTGAGTTTTAGCCATTTAGGTGAGTCACAAAATGTGTGACATTGTGTCTTTTTCTGTAATTTTAAAATGAAGAAGTAACGAGTTTATTTTTTCAAACACTAAAGATAATCTTCTACAAATTTTATATACATCTGTATTTCTAGTTTACCTGTTGTTTGTCTCGCCCCAAAAATAACAACAAAAATGGCGATTTTAGGATTGAAGTCACGTGACATGTAAAAAAAAACCCGGTAACATTTGGCGATTAAACTGTTGACAGTCAATTTCGACGAAACAGATAATCAGTATAATATACCCTATATATTCTCACATAAACATCGACAGATAAAGACGCTGGAATGCGAAAATATTAAGCGGGTAAAGGGAAATAACTGTATAAAGAAAATTATCTTCCGGGTCACCTGTCCATCAAGGTTCATGGTTCATGTATAAACAAAAAGATACAATGCAGCTTCAGGTAATAGTTGTTGAGTTTAGGGGAAACCACAGGTAGACATTCTCATCATGAAAATCTGAAATATTACACTAAGGTATCGATCAGGCCTGTCAATATTATAAAACAACAGTTTATGATAGACACCAGTCAGATCACATATGTCCTTGACCTGAGTGCCCCGTTTCCATAGAGGTCGGATTTAAATTTCAGGATATGGTCTGTATCTGAATTAATATTTTACATGATAGGTCAACAATAATTTGTTTGTTATTGGTCATGAAGAGTATGGACAGAGACATATATATATGCCTCTGGTATGGGTTATGACATTTCATATGACCTTGACCTTCATGTTCATACTCTATTGGATATGTATATGTTTTAAGATTAGAAATTTATGTGCCTCATATACATAATAATGTTGAAAATATTTTGTATGCTATAGTTGTCATGTTGGTTGTGGAATGTCATAATGACCTTTTCTGACATTGGACTCAGACTTCTTTTAAACTGAGTTTTACTGTGTGCATTGCTGTGTGTTTGTTTATTTTACATTGGCAAGAGGTATAGGGGGAGGGTTGAGATCTCACAAAACATGTTTAACCCCCAAAGCATTTTTGCGCCTGTCCCAAGTCAGGAGCCTCTGGCCTTTGTTAATCTTGTATGTTTTTTAATCTTAGTTCAGTTATATGTTTCGGAGTTTTGTGTGACATCCATTTGCACTGAACTAGTACAGGGGCCAGCTGAAGCCCTCCTCTGGGTGCAGGATTTTCTCGCTGAGTTGAGGACGCATTGGTGGCCTTGGGCTGTTTTCTGCTCTTTGGTCAGGTTGTTGTCTCTTTGACACATTCCCCATTTCCATTCTCAATTTTATTAACCTTAAATTAATCTTCTTGCTCTAACTGATCTTTGATTTTAGATAAGATTTTATAAGCCTCAGATAGAAAATAGTTTGAACATACATGTACTTTGTATGTGAATTCATCACATTTAGATGAACAAATACATTTGAGAGATTTCATTTGGCCATTGACCTGGCATCAGTTTATAATTCATTGATTCTAATGTTGCAACATGAGAAACACTTGTGTGGTTCTAATCGTGTTCTAGTATATTTTGAGTGCATTCAATTTGTTTTTTGTTTTATGCAGTTTTCTTAAATAAATCATTTATGGTTGTATAATTTTTACAAGGAATTACTTACATTAATTCATAGATTTTGTTTCATAATGTTTAGTTTGATTAAAAAATTATAGACTCACAAACATCTTTTTTAACATAAATAATATTTTTTACAAAAAGAAAAATTGAAAACTTCAAGATAAAGTGTATTAATGCATGAAACTTTATTTACTTACTATATATATATATATAAGATAATATAATTAGCATAAAATTATAATTATTTATCTTGTTTTTCAATTGTTTGTTTTTGTTTCACTGAATAACAATCTTGGTTTCCTTGTCTGATGACTAACGTACTAGATTATTGTTGGCATGTGGTGTTATTCTCATCACTCATAGGTCACTATCACTGTGTTTACCTACAAACTAGACTTACAAAATCATAAGAAGTTCTAGCTAAATGGAAATTAAATTCATAGCAACATTTTATTATATAATTTTTGTACTTACAGAGAATATAGATGGAAATTATGCAAACAGGAAACGAAAAACCATGAGTAGTGCTGTAAGTACTATAGTACAAAATTAGAAAAAATGATATAAGAAATTAATTAAAAATACATACTCCTATAGACAGATAGATTGTAATCCTTCTTCCTTAAAGATGAGAAGAATAAGATATTTTTGAAACTTAATAGAATTGTCTAAAGATCAATGTTTGAATATATATACTCTCTTGTTATAGTTGTAAATTATGATAATGATACATTATGATTTTATTGAAATTAATGTTTGTGTAATATTTTCTTTTTCTCTCTCACTTATTTACACAATTTTTTATCAAAAAAACTGTAATATGCCTATCTTTGAATTTTACTGCCTTTGTTGTAATACACACTAGATTATATATGTACTCCAGGGGCTGATCCAGCCATTTTTAAAAGTGGGGTTCCCAACCCAGGATAAAGGGGGGTTTCAACTATATGTCCCCAATCAAATGCATTGATCGTAAAAAAAAAAAAACAACCCAGAACCCCCCCCCCCCCCTTCTGGATCCGCCACTGTACTCATACTTACTGTTACATGTATGTCATTCTAACAATGTAGAATAAAGATATTTTTCCATTTATGTTTAAAAGTTTCAAATATTGTACGTTGTATATTGAAAGAAGAAAAGTTTTCTGTTAGCTCTCTTATTAAATAAAAATAAAATTGTTTACACCATGATTCCATAAAATGTAACTGGATAATGCATTTATCGTGTTTTACCATGAAATTGTTTGTGTTAGAACAGCTGTCTTCAGAATTAAACTTAAACTTTAATCGTAAGTGAGAAAACAAAATTGTCTCATATTGCCTAAGTCTTTTTAAATTACTTATATTGCTTAATTTAATTATATTGCTGAATAAACTATCTATAAAATTATTATTCTAGATGACATTTAACATCAGTACTAGCTGGGATGGTCAGCCAATAGACCATGACCCAGTCATAATATCATTAGATCGAGACAGATGTAACAATGTGATAATGTCTGTTGATGCTCCTTTCTTTAATGATCCAGCCAACCCTGGTGGTACTCCTGGTCAACCATTTCCTGGACTATGGGATTATGAAGGTAAGTCATAAATATCCAGTAATTTCGTACCATAACCATTTTGTACCAATGCCATTTCGTACCCAAAATGACAATTTTGTACCATGAATTTGCCATTTCTTTCCATGAACATAAACCATTTTGTAGCATATGGGAAAAAAAATTTACCATTTCGTACTATATGGAAAATGTGCTTTACCATTTCGTACCATATGGAAAAAATGCTTTACATTTTCGTTCTATATTGGAAAAAATGCTATATCATTAAGTACCATATGAAAATCTAACTTTACCATATCTTGGTACTTTTTTTATTTTGAGTTGAGTCCATGTCCACTTTCAATTTAGTGCAATTTGTTATTGTTCTTTCTATTGTTATTGTATGTATATATGTACACAAATAAATAATGAAATAAATGTAATGAATCTGTTTGTATTTTTTTTTTTTGAATTGATATTCATGAAATAATGAATAAAAGAACATGTGAAGTATACACCATTTAGACAGTATTTGCATTCAATCAATCCTATGACAAAAAACAGGGTATTGAAAGTTTTAACTAAATTCAGGTTCTTTTCTAATCTCCAATCAAGAAATTTTCTGTACGCACATTCTATCAAATGGTAGGCAATTAAACATAGTAAGACTTACCTTCAGTACTGAATTATGAATACATATAAAAATAGCATACAATGGTACAAAATAGTAAACATTATAATCTTCCAAATGGTACGAAATGGTATACATTATAAAGTTCCATATGGTACGAAATGGTCATGGTACGAAATGGTTATAGTACGAAAGGTTTTTTGTTATGGTACGAAATGACTATGATTCATGTACTTTACCACTTCAAACACCACTCTATGTGCTATGAGTAATAATTCAGTAATTTAAAATGATGTATTATCCAAATTTATAAAGTTAGCCAATATTTGCTCATATTTTTACCTGCATCGCCGAAGGCAAAAGAAGGTATAGTAACCGCTGGACTCAATCCATCCATTTGTCTGTCTGTCCAAAAGACCTTGGGTAGGAATCTATGAAGGGAAATGGTTAAATATTTGGTCTGCAGCTTGATAGTGTTGTGTTGTAGCCAATTTTACATCCACTGTGGAGACACTTCTTTGCCCATCATTTGAAACTCTTTGCACAAGAAAAATTTTCATCAAACTTCTCATATTGAGAAAGATTTTGCTTTAAGTTAAAAATATGAATTGACAATTTTTTACAATTTCGTTGTTTTTTGTGACTTATTGATTTGATGAATTGAATCAAAATATCCTTTCTCTTATTCCAATATTAGTTCTGTTCATATTAAAAGGTCATTGCTTACATATTTTCTTTTTTGTTTAGTTGCAGAGGCATTTTTTCTTAATGATCAGAATGATTACTTGGAAGTTGAACTGAGTCCGTAAGTCTATAAGTTTTTTTTTTATATACAGTGAATGGTAAAGTACATGTAGTGATGATGTAGCAATACAATATTTTAGTACCACTTCTCTTATTTTTGTGCTATTTTCACATTTTATGATTGGTGTGAGAAAATAATTTCTCCTCACTAGTGAAATATCTGTTCTCGGCAGATGATTGGTCGAAATTTAATTATGACGTCAAATTTTCTTGGTTTCTTCTGAAATTTCCTACTATGACATCATGAAAAAAGGCGACCATGCCTGATAACGTTACATATAAAGAACACAACTTTCTTCAAATCTTTGAAAAAGGAAGAGAAACAGATCTCACCACTATAACTTGTGTATTACAATATTTCTGCACTCTCAACAGTTAAATTTTAATTATTTAAAAAGCTCAGCAAGCCTCGTGCTTTAAACATTAAAATTCAACTGTCTTGAGTGGAGAAATATCGTAACAGACTTGTTGCAGTGGTTGAATCTATATTTACTACATGGTCTCACATTTACCAAAAATATCTTTAACTAAAAAAAATTCCCTTATTTTTTGCCATATTGGAATGTATAAAGCTACCTTTTATGGTTATATGGACCAATACACTCAGGTTATAATACTCAGGAAGACTAATAATCTTTATGGCTTATTGAAAGTCATTTGTTAATTGTCATACAATTTTTCAATGTGTGTACATCATGAGTCTATTTGAATGAATATGTTTAGGATCAAATGGAATTGATAGTTAAGATATATATATATATAACGGATTACAAATATGTCGAGTTTTGTGATTGGATAACAACACAGAGATGTCAGTATATATTCAGGAAACTGCTGGGGTATATACGACGTTTTTTATCCCCAATTTAAACATCAAAGACATCATCATAACACCTGTTACTATGTGACGTAGTCAAAAGCTATATAGAACACTTAATAATGTCAGAGGCTCACAGAGGGAAAATAATGATGTACATCCGTCAAAAATACATTTTTAATACAAAATCACGCAATTTACACTTCAAATACTTAAATTTAATGTTTTAAAGTGTTATTATAAATTATTACATACACGATAAAATATTTTTCACAGCAAATTACAAAATCCTTCACGTATGCGGAACATATCAGGTTGGGTTTTTCAATATATGTGTTGTAAAAAACAAAGCCACACACACATTCAAACACAAAACATGAAATCTAACAACTTTATTTTGATTGAAAACATTTTCTTAACGGAAAAAAAATTGTGAAGATAAAAAAGGTGCATTTAAATGGATTATGAAACAATAGACATGTAATTAATATAATACATGCTGCATTGTGAATTTTTAACAAATGCTTTCACTGGAAAAAACATAAAGACAGGGGTAATCCGTAATATATGTGTAATTCAGGTCTCAGACAGGGTAAATACTGTGACATTCCCGGCTTAGGGCTTATATCCCCTTCGCCTTCGGCTCAGGGGATATAAACTCTAAGCCATGAATGTCACAGTATATACCCTGTCTGAGACCTGAATAATATATAATATATATATTTGAGAAGAATTATATTATATATCTTTTAAAGGCATGGACAACATCTCCTTCTGTTGCTGCATGGCGTTAGGAATAGTTTTAAAGTAAGTGTAAAGGGGATGATACCACAAGAAGTTCAAGAATAATTCAGTCCTCTGGTCATGAAAGTACCAAAAGATATAATGTAACATGTTACTTTAAACTGATTTCTTAATTTGTTTAAAGTTTATATGTTATTCAGTATGGTGATCCCTTATATGAGGGCATGGACGCGGTAAACAAAATAGAGAATAACAGGCCAATATGACAGAAAAATCAGATAAAAATATAAAGAGAAAAATAGGCAAAAAATGAAGAATTGAATAAAATGGGATACTAAAATATAAGAATAGAGAATAATGGAATAATGGGCTTGAAAATCTCAAGAATGCAAAATTTCCAGTCCCTCTTATATATCATTATTTAAAAAAAAAAATTGATGTGACTAAATGGATGTGACAATCATCAATCAACTTATCCATTTGGGCACTTTATTTGCATAAAAAGGGTTATGTTCTTCTCTGTGATTACAAGATTTACAGTTTAATAGAAATGTTATGTTAAGCAGATATCTTAATATTAAGAACATCACTTTTGAAATGGCATTTTTTGTGTCACAAAATGTACGTAGAATAGATCCAATTAAAATTCCCATGTAAGCTTAAAACTCAAAGATAAATGAAAAAAGTGTGGACAGCTATCATATTAAAAGATATTTTTGTGTATTTTTTTAACAACTTGTACTAAATTTGTTGGATCTATACTTCCTTAATTATGTTTGTTCAAAGATACTTAAACATATTTTCCAGCAACAACTTCCACTGACTTACAAACCTACCATTAAAAATGATAGATGGACTGGGGAAGCCACCATACCCAGCAGTTATTTCCCTCCAAAAGTGACTAAATTCAATGCTTATGCAATCCATGGATCAGGGACCAATAGAACATATGAATCACTGTATCCTGTACCAACAGGGAAATATAAAGATCCTGACTTGTAAGTTTTAATAAGATTCTTTTTTCCAGATTACTATCATGCATTTGGTATTGACAGTTATATTACTCAGGTGTAAAATTTTTAAGCCAGTTTAAAAAACCAAATTGTGTAAATTTTTATGTGTTAAGGATCTAAGACACATTCCAGTATGGAAAAATGAACTCATCGTAGATACCAGGATTAAATTTTGTACCCCAGATGCATGTTTTGCTACGAAAGACTCATCAGGGATGCTCAATTAAAAAAGTTTTAAAAAAAGCCAAATAAAGTACGCAGTTGAAGAGCCTTTAGTACACAAAATTCAGAAAGGTTTTGCTAAATACAACTTAGGTAATCTTTCCAGAAATTCTAAGTTTTGTAAACAGTTAATTTATTATTACGACCATATCAATGATAGTTCATGTCAACCCAGAAGTACAGATGTAAAAGAAGATGTGGGGTAAACATCAATTATAACTCAGTGATACTACTATTAAACACATTTGATTTCATTGAATTTGAGTGTAAACATTGTTACATTTATTCACACTATTAATTAACATTTGCACAATTACTTATCTTACAAAAGTCTGACAAAATACACTGCAGCAATCTTCAAAAATAAAATCAAGCAACCACATGTGATATGATAAAGACAAACTATATTCAAAATGTAGTTTAGTTTGGCATGGGTCATTTTGCCTAGCCAATAGGTATGTAATTTAAACTGAAGTCATCCTCATTCAGGTGACAAACAAAGGAGTAACAGAATAAAATACATCAAAATTTAATGTGAGAGTTTTAAGAAATGCTTGGCAAATCTTGTTGTCCCTTCCCATATAATAAAAACATTTATTTACAGTATTTAAAATCACATTTTTAGGTTTTAATGTTATGTTCTAATCATTCATACAAATTCTAAGCTATCTTAATTGTTAGATGATTTCTATTTGTCTTTCAGCCACAAATTGGACTATTTTCAACCAATCAACTTTAAAGGACTGCTACCTGTTAACTGGAGCCCACAGTATACCTCAAATGAATGGAAGGAGTACTACCCAAATGTTAGTCAATAAGCCTGCATACAAGCTTTTAGAAATTTTGTACTTTGATGAATATTAAAATTTTTTGTTTAACTTTACAGTGAAAAATAAAATCAATATTCAACAAATAATATTGAATCCACAGTGAGTCATTCTAGCTATTCTGAATACAGATATTTTCCCCCCTCAGATTCAAATATTGTACATTATATTTTGAAAGAAAGGTTTATGTAAGCTCTCTTATCATCTGAAAATAAAAATATTTACCCGAAGATTTTATTATTTGGAATTGGATAACCTGCATTTTTATATCATTCCTTACCATTAAATAAGGTTAGATTACTGGAAGATTCTCCTGTCTTGACTATTGAAAAGTTTTGCATTAACCAGAGTATAATGGTATATCTACAGTCTTTGGTCAGAAGTGTTTCACCTTTCAGAAATTCCCCTCTGACCTCATATAAAAACATTTCTTAATTTAAATTCCACTAAAGATATTTTTTGTCCAATTTTGAATGATTTTTTTTCATTAAATGCAAAAATGTCTGAAGTTTTTTTGTAATCTTTATAAAAACGTATTTATGATTTATATATTTCAGAAAATTGATGTTTAAAGACAAATATGAATTTCAGCACACACAAAAAAAATGACACTTAATTTTAATATTTGTATACAAATAAAGAATTCTTAGTAGTGACATGACATACAAATATTTCATAATAACCATACAAATTTGTTACATTTATGAGTTTAAAATTGAAAATTTCAGTAAAATGGTATCTCAAATTATTTTTTTTTTAAATTGTATAATAGGAAAATTTCCAATAAGTGGAACACTTTAGACCTAAGACCTAAGACTGTAATGCATAAGGTTGGTAGAAATGAACAAAATTCATCATCATGTTGGAAATGAACAACATTCATCATCAATTTCAATTGTTTTAGTCAAACATTTACAAACAGTCTAAAGTGTTACTGTTAGAACAGCAGAATTGTGCATGAACATGATGATTCAAGTTACCTCAAACTGAAATAGTAAGTGAGGAAAAAATATTGTCTCATATGGCCTTCTTTTTAAATTACTATATATCACTGAATAACTTATTTTTGAAATTATTATTCTAGATGACATATAAAATCAGTACTATCTGGGATGGTCAGTCAATAGACCATGACCCAGTCATAATCTCATTAGAAAAAGATGGACACAATAATGTGATAATGTCTGTTGATGCTCCTTTCTTTAATGATCCAGCCAATCCTGGCGGTACTCCTGGTCAACCATTTTCTGGACTTTGGGATTATGAAGGTAAGTCATGTACTTCATCACTGATAAAACTACTCAAAGTGCAATAAGTTATAATTTTGTAATTTAAAATGATGTATTATTCAAATTTATAAAGTTTACCAACATATGCTTATATTTTTGCCTGTGTTCCTGAATGCAAATGCAGGTCTAGTAACCGTTCAACTCAGTCATTCTGTCTGACTGTGCATCTGTCCAAAAGACTTTGGGTAGGAATTTTGGTCGAAGTTTTCTTGGCTTTAATTAATTGAAATGGTTAAATGTTTGGTCTGCAACTTGATAGTGTTGAGTTGTAGGTAGTAAGCAATATTTTCATCCACTGTGGAGCCACTTTCAGTTTGCCAATAAAATTTTACAACACTCATGCATTGTACAAGAAAAATTTTTGTCAATTTTTTCATATTGAAAGATTAAAAATTAAAGATAAAAAGTATGAATTGACATTTTTTTTTTTAATTCAAATTTCGTTTTGTACATATTTTGTGACTTCTACCATAATATTTTTTATTTTATTAAAAATGAGATTTAAAAAGAATTATGATTTATCTGTTACAAAAAATATTTTACTAGGGATCGATGCAAGGCAAAAACACATATGTTATTGACTTATGTAAAACATATCAAGGCGTACTTAATCTATATTGAATGGTCATTGCTTGAATATTTTCAATTTGTTTAGTTGCAGAAGCATTTTTTCTTAATGATCAGAATGATTACTTGGAAGTTGAACTGAGTCCGTGAGTATGCAACCCCATTTCCATTCTCAATTTTAAATTGATTTTGACTTTATATGAATGTACAGTGTTTGGTTTAGAAGTGGTAATATAGCAATAACCTTTTAAGTGCATAATACATAGTTCAATTTTACAAAAAAAAACATCTCTCTGGTTCAAAACAATCCAATACATTTTGCCATATTGGAACGCATAAGGCTACCTTTTATGGTATATGGGCCAACACACTGTCAGCTCATAATACCTAGGAATACTACAATTATCATGATGTCACATAAAAAGTCAGTTGAAAACTGCAATGTTGTGCACATTATGATTCTATTTGAATGAACATATTTAGAATTCGATGTAATTAATAGTTCATGAAAATGTAGATGGAAAATGTCAATGAATTTGAAGACCACTAATGAAAATAATCTAAACTTTGTCAAAGTTTACATTTTACTGACAAAATAATAAACATGTTTATGTGACAAAAATAGTTTAAACACACATGAAGGGCAACATACATACAGGTGTATTTACAATATTTCAGGTTTTTAAACTGTCCAGAGGCTAAACAAACTGTGAATTATAAAATATCATAGAAACTAACAAAGATCAGCCACCAACATATAATTCTCCAAATAACAAAAAAAAGTCGGACGAAAAAGACCTGAGAGAACCACATACATGGTTCCTGAATTGGGAAAGGCAACTCAACTAATTTATTGAGATATATAAGTGTATATTTGGTCCGAGAACACAGTTATTTCATAGTGCATTTCTTTTAAACAATAAATGAAAATTAAAAAATTCCCACCTGCGCTTTCTCAATTATATTTTTACAGTGTGTTGTACTACTTTTGGGACAAACTATATCAAAATTATAGAAAACTTCATCAGCTCTAACTCAAAATATGGACAATTTTATGTTAAGGGGGTCTTGGAATCTTTTGACAGCTTTCGAAATGCTAATTTTTAACCTTTTTCAGCTGGACCAAATCACTACTTAACTTTAAAATTCATGACCTAAATTTTTTTACAATGTAATTCATCCACCTACTTGCTATTTGAGGCATGAAACATGAAAAAGTAAATTTGGAAGGGGTATAAAAAAAATTGGCAAGTAACACACTGTTCACACTTGGGACTATATTCATGGACAACGAAAATCAAAGGACGATAACTGTGTACCCGGACCTAATAGGATAGATTGATTGATTGATTGTTGGTTGCTTTACGTCCAGTGGCAAATATTTCATGCATGTTCAGGACGAATGATAGGATAGAAAGACTTGACCAATCTTAATAAAACTTAGTATGACCAAAGCTTCAATTATCAACATTTTGGGCTTTAAAAATTCAAGTATTGCAAAAAAATACTTTTTAAATCCCTTAATATATAATATATCATGTATAAAAAGCAATAGGATACTCATTTGATTTATCAGATTTATCACAATTATTCAAAAGTCAAATTTATATGAGCCTGTGCTTAAAAATGGCGGTTTTCCAATGAAGGGGGCCTTACATGAAGATGTAATATTTTCCAGAAATTTTAAATTTGTGAAGTTTTTTGGTTATAAATAATCCTTACATATGTATTTAATGTACATAAAACTTTTAAATGGAAAGAAAAATTACAAATAGCTTATCATATTAGTATAAAATGGTCTTAGGCCAAGTAAGACTGAAAATAATTTAGGGTCAATTTAGGCTGTAGTACATATTTATATTTAAAAATGCATACTGAAGCTATAGGAAATAAAAATTTGTTTCTTTTTTATCATTTCTATACTCAGGTTACATGATACAATAAATCTGAAAACAAAAGGACTCTTGCATTCAACTGTTTTTGCAGATAGTATGGTCTAATACAAAGATTTTTCACTTTTAAGTGAAAAACTTGCATGCAATTTTAGTCTCAACAGGCATATATTTGAACCACTTGCTATCCTACAGAAGAAAAGAATGATATTATGTGAAATGAAACAGGTACACAAGACATTGTAAAGTGCTTTTTATACAAATTTAGTGAAATCTTTATTATGGACTTCAACTTTTATGTACCAAGCTCCTCACATTTAACTTGATCCAAACAGGGCATTAGATGAGGGTCATTTATACAACACATTTTGCACAATTTGTCTGAGATAATCTACTTTTCTGTAGATTCAGAGTTCATTAATGAGTAAAACAACTGGATTAAATCCTAGAAACACAAATATTGACGCTCTATCTCTATGTCTTGAGAACCGTTATGATTTCATACTTTATACTTGACATGTATATTAACCAACACCAGAGGGTGTGTCATAATGTATGTACAACTTCCTAGGTCAAAGGTCAAGGTAAAAAACTTTGGTTTCAGTTGACAACCCCATGTCCTATGGTAAAGATCGTGTCCGCTCTATATCTTGAGAACTATTATGATTTCAAAGTTTATACTTGACATGTATATTAACCAACACCAGAGGGTGTGTCATAATGTATGTACAACTTCCTAGGTCAAAGGTCAAGGTCAAAGACTTAAGTTTCAGATGACAACCCATGTCCTATGGTAAAGATACAAATTTTTTACCACACATTATTCACAGCGGGACCCACAGAGATGGCTCCCATCTCAATGATGTCTAGTTCCTTTAGTTTCATGCTATTTGACAAATTGACACCATTAAATCATTCAGGGAAGTTTCCAAAGTACAGGTTCTTTATTTACTGAGTTCATCTCTTAGACCGATGAACACAGTTATTTCATAGTGCATTTCTTTAACAATAAATGAAAATAAAAAAAATCCCACCTGAGCTTTATCAATTATATTTTTACAGTGTGTTTTACTACTTTTTGGACAAACTATATCAAAATTATAGAAAACGTCATCAGCTCTAACTCAAGATATGGACAATTTTATGTTAAGGGAGTCTTGGAATCTTTTGACATCTTCCGACTATATTCAGGACAACGAAAATCAAATAACTGTGTTCCCGGACCATTTGTTTGCAGTCTAAATTGATTTATTTTGTTTCTTTTAAAGGCATGGACAACATCTGCTATTGTTGCTGCATGGAGTTAGAAAAAGTTTTAAAGTAAGTGTAGAATGCTCAATTTCAGAGGTTAAGTTATGTTTAAAAACCATTTAGTCTGCTGATCATGAAGTACCAAAAGATAGAATAAGTCATGATAAGTTTATCAACATAGGCATATATTTTTACCTGTGTCACCAAACCAAAAATATGACGATTCCTTATATCCTTATTTTAAAAAGTTTTGATGATTTAATGAAAGTGACAGTCTTCAGACAACATGTCCTTTTGGACACTTCATTTGCATAAAAGTATCATTTTTATCTCCCTTGAATGCAAGACTACAGTTTAATTGAAAAGCAATTTATAGCTGATATCCTATCATAAGATTTAGAGTGCTACAGTTGCAATGATAGGCATTTTTTGTGTTACTTATTGGATGTAGAATAGATCTAAGTTTACCCTGTCACTTATGTCCTCAAACAGAAATATGTTAGTTTTCTGCACTTTTTTCATCTTCTGTTAACTTTTAACTGATATTTGGTATGTAATAATACAACAAATTATACTAGATATTGTTTTAGTTGACATATTGTAACAGATTTAAGCATTTCTCTGTAAAATTTTTTTGAAAATTCACTTCATTGTGCTTTTTCTTTGTGTCTTTTTGAATTTGTTTGTGTTATTTGTTATTGGATGTATACTACCTAAATTATGTTTGTTCAAAGATAATTACCATATTTTCCAGCAACAACTCCCACTGACATACACAGCTACCATTAAAAATGATAGATGGACTGGGAAAGCTACTATACCAGGCAGTTATTTCCCTCCAAAAGTCACTAAATTTAATGCTTATGCAATCCATGGATCAGGGACCAATAGAACATACGAATCGCTGTATCCTGTTCCAGCAGGAAAATATACAGATCCTGACTTGTAAGTCTTAATAAAATAACTTTTTATTACTTTTATGCATTTAGTATTGGGAGTTGTGAAAGGTGGATAAAATTTGAAGCCATTTAAAAACTAGACAAAGTGATGCCCCCGCACTCCATTCTGAAGTAACTGTATTATAACAAAGTCAATGTAGGACTTTCTTTGAGATATTATTGTGTCTTGGAGACACAATTGATGCCCCCGCAGATGCAAAGTGTTATTTTAAAATAACTGTAACATTTAATCACTTATACCCCAAAAATGACAAAGTTCAACTATCTCCTAAAAGAGCAAATATTAATAAAAATTAAAACCCTGACCACATGCACACCTTCAATATATGTACAAACAGCCAGCAAAGTGAAAACTTCCTAGTATTCAAACTGTAGGAGAAGTTATCTGGAAATGCCCCTCTTATGCAAGTAAATACTCCAAAAAATGACAAAGTTCAACTATCTCCCAAAAGAGCAAATATTATTAAAAATCAAAACCCTGACCACATACTTCAATATATGTGCAAACAGCCAGCAAAGTGAAAACTTCCTAGGATTCAAACTGTAGGAGGACTTAAGCTGAATAACTATATACCCATAATGGGATGGATGGATGGATGGACGGACAGGGGTAAAACAGTTGCGGGGGCATAAAAATGTATTTTTTTGTAAAGTTAGATGATTTTGGAACATCGATGTAATCTATCACACATAATGATGTTCTAGGTAGAATATATTGAGTTCCATTTTTTTTTAATCAGGAATCAGGATCAAAAACTTATTTTATTATGAAGAAAAACAGATGTGGGATATAATGAACCCAGTAATGTTAGGCAAATTTTATTGGAGGTTAAACGTTGTTGCATTTATTCACAATATTAACAAAACATTTGCTCATTTACTTATTTTACAAAAATTTTACAAAATACACAGGTATAATGTAACAATTTTTTTATGTGACAAGATAAAAAATATATTAAAAACATGGAGTGTCAAACACGGAATTAAGTTTGGCCAATATAATCTAAGTAAGGTCATATTTCCTAGATGGGTAGCTATGCAGTTTGAAAATCTTAAGTGATCATCATTCAGGTAACATATCAATGTGTTACTAAATACCAGAAACTGACCAAGTTCTTGAAGATTCTTAAAGTTTGCTAATCACTTTATTAAAAAGATCACAAAATATATCTGAATTACAGTATTTAATTTTTTTTCTTTTTTAATGTTACGAATAAGGTCTTATAAACTTAAAGATGCTTAATTGTAAGATACTATTTCTTGATATTTTCCTTCCAGCCACAAATTGGATTATTTTCAACCAATCAACTTTATAGGACTGCTACCTGGTAACTGGAGCCCACAGTATACCTCAGAGGAATGGAAGCCGTACTACCCAATTGTTGGATAAATCGTGCAATATAAACATTTACATGTTTTTATGCATATTGGTGTCTTTTTCCTGTATATTAGGAAACATTTGCAATTTCTGTTTTTTCCCCAAATTGGATTTTCAATATTTTTTCATAAATGTCTTTTATCAAATCATTTTGATGTAATTTTTGACAAAGTATTCCTAGAAGCCCTGTCAATCTACAAATTAAGAATGATTTAACTGCCTCAAATATTTCCAGGGACTGGGATACTCTAAATAATTTCTTATTGTTATCAAATTTTATGTTGATTTTCAGCATATTTTTTGCTGTTGATTTTATTTGTTATTCATATTATTATGAAATAGAATAAACTATTATTTAAAAACACACACAGTTTGTTATACTTATGATGGGAAACAAGATTGCCATGTCACAGTGAATTTGATGCTGTAGTTTTGAAACGGTGCATTATACAAGTATAAAAAGATGACTGTAAAATTGAAGCTGCACACATTACTTCTTCATCATAGTTTTGAACCCTTCCATATGAAGCTTTTATGAAATTCTTGCATGCCATTAGGGTCAAATCTAACCAAAAACTTCAACAACTCTTGCAAAAATAAATAAATAAAATGTTTAGTTATGTTTGGTTGACTACAACATAATTTTATTGAATATGAAATCTGATGGACCAAAAAAAAACCAATGTGGCATTCTATAAGAGGCCATGAATAGTCAAAATCTGACAACAACTGAAAAAATTTACAAATTAAAAAAGCAATAAATGGGCACCTACACTTAATAAGTTTGAAAGCTTTTATGCAAATGGTAACATTGAGAAGTATTTACAAGGTGGCATTATGCTATAAAAGGTAAAGTGATAGAAGTTAAATAACTCCTACAACAGATATCAAATCAATAGCCAATTGGTATGTTCAACTATACATGATGATAAACAATCTCATTAAGTATTGAAGCTTTTAATCAATAGTCTAACAGGATTATCGTTCACATGTTGTCATTAAGCTCAAATATGCCTAAAATTGTCAAAGTTATATAACTTCTATAAAAGCTGTCGAATCGAAATAGTGATATTTGTTGGTCAACTACACATGATAACAATGATTGATCAACTACACATGATTACAAACAATCATAGTAACGATGAAAGCTGTTTAATCAGTTTCAGTGTGTCATGCTGCAATATGCAAATATTGTTAAAGTGCCTCAATTCCCACAATCAATGTGGAATAAAAATGATATAGAATTGTTACTATGTTACAATGGGCTAAATGGTCAAAGTCCTTCAACCCCAGATGTAAGTATCAAGCTATAGTGTTGCCAACTACCCATATAAATGACAAAACCTGCATACTAGTACGAAATCTCTAGGAAAAAGGGTCCTGGGGGTACAGTGTTAAAAAAAATGTAAAAAGACCACTGGAAGGAGGGAGGAAGATTAGTTTTGTCATTTGAGTATGCAGGGGGGATAATAAAATAATACAGTATTGTAAACTAATATTTTGATATTTTGCATTTAATTTGTTGCTTTTTGGACCAGGCAAAACGCTGAATTTTCCATCTGTCATAATGTCCATTGTCCATGAACTCTTTCAGGTTAAACGAATTCTTTTTAATCACGCGAATTTCACATCAATTATTAATAAGATAACTCTATTTGGTACATGTATCCTTGAAAGGTCTTCTACTCCTTCTGCATGAACGAATCTCTGTCCATATCTCAAATATTACAATCAATAAGTCAACTTTATTTGGTGTATGTTATGATTGTTAGAAGTACATGCCAGTGGCGGATCCATAACCTTTTATAAGGGGGGGACTCCAGTCATGCTTCAGTGATTCCCTATATAAGTAACCAAGTTTTTCCCACAAAAGGGGAGAGTCGGGTCCACCAGCCCCCTGGATCCGCCTATGCATGCCTGTCTGACAGGATTCGTCTGATCTTAACCTCTTTTAATCACTGTTTTCAAGTTAAGAGACATTCACACATAAAGTCCTTTTATCAGGTGAGACTTCGTTGAAACAAATGTGCACTCAAATATTTAAATCAGAATTCACCATATGACTGCTTACAAAGGATAGACATAATTGCAAATCATTTAATCTAAATGCTCCAGAGAATGATCTTGCACATATATATAGATTCTACCATTTCGTCAGATCCAACCTCAGCCTGAACCAACTAAAGTTGTATTGCTAGATAATTTTTTTGGAATAACCAAAAGAAAAAACTATGCAAATATTAACATAAATAAAGTGAAAAAAGTACTTGTTTGTAAAGGGTCCTAAAATTTCCGTCAGGCATACATCAGTTGTTCTTGACTTGGTGTTCTTTGTGTTACATTTATTTATCTATTGATTTATGAGATTTGAACATCGGTAAACTACTGTTGTCTTAATGATGACGGCATTGTATCAAATGATCTTCTGAGTTCTTATAGATCAACTCTATTTGTTGTGTAGAATCATTGCATATGACTCTTGTCGTGTAGACAGGGTACACCGAACCTTGAAAACATAACTTGGGGTTTAATCACAGTTTTCATGATTATGCCAGTTTCTCGAAAGCTCATATTTAAACTGTATTTCGTGTTTAGCATGCTTGTTTGTTGTATCAGTCTTTTTGAAAGGGATCATTTGACAATGTCCTTGTTTTCATAGATTATTGATCAACCTAAAATGTTTGGTTTGCAAAAAAAAAGTAGACATAGTCGAGCTCTCTTGAATAATAGTTCACATACATGATCTATTACGCAAGATAATTTACATTTATATTATATATAAATATCTTTTTTGAATAATTGAATATTTTGTTATTTGATCAGTGTTGATTATAACTACCTTGATCGATAATGTAAGTAACAGATTTTCATAAGCATTAATGACCTTTTCGATCACAACATTGTGTAACAGCATTCATACATAGCATCCACGTAGACGACTGAATAAAAGGAACTTGAAAATACATCAACTAAAATATCTTATATTTTTTCATCTAACAGAGACCCTTCTTCTTCTAGATGAATATTTTTTAACTCTTAAGTTTTAATAACAAAACAATTCTAGCTCGAAACAAAGATGCATTGTGGGAAATAAAAAAAGTCATAAGGAAGAAAAAAAAATAAAACAAACAACACCATCCCTTGAAAGAGGAACGAAAGATACCAGAGGGACAGTCAAACTCATAGATCGAAAACAAACTGACAACGCCATGGCCAAAAATAAAAAGATAAACAGACAAATAATACTACAGATGACACAATATAGAAAACTAAAGACTAGGCAACACGAACCCCACCAAAAACTGGGGGTGACCTCAGGTGCTCTGGAAGGGTAAGCAGATCCTGCTCCACATGTGGCACCCGTCGTGTTGCTTATGTTATTACAAATCCAGTAAATAGTCTAATTCGATAGGTCACATTCGTGAAAAGGGAAGGGTATTGTAGTTACGACATAAGGAACATATCCGATATCATCTGTGAAACGGTTATTCCATAACGGTCAACCAACTCGTGATGGCGTCCGTAAAATTTACGAAGAGATGATTTCAACTTCACCATTTGGAACTCTTGGTTCAATAGCTTCCTTGTGAGCAGCAATCCTCTATCAAGGAAATCATGATAGGAAATACAAGCCCGGGAATATCGTATCAATTGGGAGATATATACTCCGTATGCAGGCGCTGCTAGAATGTTGCTACATAGAAATGGAAAGTTCACAATTGGGAAGCTGAAATCATCTCTTTTGTCGTAAAGTTTTGTTTTCAACCGACCCTCATTGTCAATTTCTAGATGTAAGTCAAGATATGAGGCAGACTTAACTGTATCTGTAGTATCCTTTATCCCTAGTTCGATGGGATAGATTCGTTCAACATAGTCACCAAATTTTGTATTATTTAGAATTTTACAAAATACACAGGTATAATGTAACAATTTTTTTATATGATAATATAAAAAATATATGAAAAACATGGAGTGTCAAACACGTAATTAAGTTTGGCCAATGTAATCTAAGTAAGGTCATATTTCCTAGATGGGTAGCTATGTATTATTTAGTGAGAGAACATCGTCTATATAGCGGAACGTAAAGTTAAAGGATATTGCTAACTTCTTATCTTTCTTCCTAAGAAGTTCCTGTATGAAGTCAGCCTCATAATAATAAAGAAACAAGTCGGCAAGAAGAGAGGCACAATTGGTTCCCATTGGAATTCCGACAGTCTGTTGAAAAACACGTCCTCCAAACGTAACAAATATGTTGTCAATCAAGAAATCAAGCATCTTGATAATGTCAGTTTCAGAGAATTTTTTGTTTGAATCAGAATGATTCTTTACGAAGTAGGATTCATTTCTCCCCAAGACAAGATACTTGTATCTGCGTTCGCCATTCTTTTTAATGAAACAAAGTAATACCAACTCTTTCAATTTGTCTTTTTGTTTGGAATGGGGAATACTTGTGTAAAGTGTAGAAAAATCAAATGTTTTAATACAATTGCAAGATGAGAGAGTCTTGAAATAATGCAGCAGTCGACAAACACATCACAAACAGTCGAAGATGAACAAAACACCACAAAAATCATTGATTGAACTCATTTGCTTCTGAACTGTCAACAATTCCTGTTCAAACAGTGATACTTAGAGTGTTACTCCTATCAAATCTGTTTTGATATGATTCGTAACAAAAGTGGATGCATTATGAAGTATCAACATAACAAAATGTTTCTTTTTTCTCTAAGACACAAGTAAACTTAGAAAACATCGGCACATACGATAGAATGCGAAAGTCAAAAATCGAAAACAGTTTTAGGACAAAAGATTGACAGGACTGTCAGATATATAAGGCAATTGCACAAACATTGGAAAGGAAAAATAATAAAATAAAACCAAAACAATGTAGATAGTTTTTAACATTGTCAAAAAGCGTGAGATTTGGTATGTAATCTAACCAGGTTCATACACCAATTTTTATTAAAATGTCCTGTACCAATTCAGAAATATGGCAGCTGTTATCAGCTGGTTCGTTTCTATGTGTGTTGGCGTTTGATTTTTTTTGCACTTGGGTATTCCTGTTGGTCCTTTGTTTTCCTCTAATAGTTGATGTGTTTCTCCCGGTTTGGTTTGTAACTCGGATTTTTTTTTTCTCAATCGATTTATGACTTTTGAACACCCATATACTACTGTTGCCTTTATTTGATTGTATTGAATGTAGTACTTTCATAGTAAAAATTCGAAATGACAATGTCATTTTTACCAATAAAAACTTTGGATTAAAACATCATTTTAAGCAGAGATCGAAGTAATCATAGTAGGAAACTCAAACAATGGAATATGGTAGTAACTTAGATATATAAATTCAATATGCAGACCATG